ATGAAAATGAGACCGTTCAGATAAGTCCCTTGTTCATTTTCGGAGAGTCATATGGAGGACGATTTACAGTTACTCTGGGAGTATCAGCTCTAAGAGCCATTGAAGCTGGAGAATTGAAACTTCAACTTGGGGGTAACATTATGTTTTCAGTAAATTTATCTAGTTTGTCAATGTTCGTTCTTCTGTTCAGGAAAGAACTTAGATAATACATACTGGAGTGATTTAACAATATCTAATTATGTGATTATGTATCTGCACACAGGCGTTGCTTTGGGTGATAGCTGGATTTCTCCTGAAGATTCTGTGGTATGTTCTTTCTTTGTCAGAAAATTTCAAAGTGCAATTTTTTATATGTGAATTTTTGTCTTGATATGCAGTTTACATGGGCACCATTTCTCAAAGACGTGTCAAGAATGGACAACAATGGCCTGATAAAATCAAACAGGTTCGGATTAAAGTTGTCATCTATAAGATTAAGTACACTAAAAAGCAAAATCAAATTAATTTAACATCATCCATTTTGCAAGAACAGATTAGCTCTAAGGATTAAGCACCAGCTTGCAGAAGGTAAATATGAAAACGCGACCACATCGTGGATTGCACTCGAGAATGTAATTTTCAGGCACAGTAACTATGTGGTATCTTTCGATCTCTCAAGCAAGAAAATATGTAAATGCACACAATGGTTACATAATTTTTAGTTACATTGTATCAACTGGAGTTTCAGGACCTGTATAACTTCTTACATGATCTTGGAAATGACCTGATTATCGATGGAATGACATCCAAGGAATTCAAAGGACTTGGAGTATATAGATACTCAAAATATCTTAGCAGCAAGAAATTATCAACAACTGATATGAAGAACCTGTTGACCTTGATAGCTTGATGAATGGACCTATCAAAAAAAAGTTTAAGATTATTCCTGAACACGTATTGTAAGTTTCTGCTACTAAAATGGTAAAAGAAGAGTTTGTATCAATTGATTGTCACCACTTTCCTGAACTGTGTTTGGATTACTCTACAATTTCATTTTTTTTTTTTTTTTTCTTCCTGATATTACCTGTTGTATTGCAGATGGAAAGAAGAAGAACTGTTAGTTTTTCCACCCATGATTGGTGATTTCATGAAACCAAGAATCAAACAGGTGGTGTTAAATTATTTTTGTATCGATTCTGCTAATTAAAATTAATATTCTGGGTTCAATTAACTTAGATCTTACTTTAAAGGTGGAAGAGCTCCTGGCCAAGGGAATTAATGTGACGATATACAATGGACAGGTAACGTTTTTCACAATCTGGAGTTAAAGGAAAACATTGAATTATTTTATTTTCTTTACAGGACCGTCCCGACCCTCCATATTCTTAAGATCTGGGTGCTCCTAAGTAATTAGGCGGCCAAGACAGATTCTGTGGGATAGGGAGGATCCAAACGGGTGCTGTCACAATCACAACCTGAAACTGAAATGGTTTGGTTGAATTTTATGATAGCTTGATGTGATATGCTCAACCAAAGGAGCTGAAGCTTGGGTTCAGAAGCTCAAGTATGGCACTCATTTCCTTTTTTCAGAATTAAATTTTGTTCTCATTTTAGTGTTATGTTGTCAGTAAATTGGTTCTTCTACTTCAGGTTGGATGGCCTGGAAGATTTTTTAGCTTGAAACGTTTTCCTTTATACTGCGGAAATGATGAATCAATCACCAAAGGATTTGTCACTTCATACAAGAATTTATTTTTCTATTGGATTCTTGGATCTGGTCACTTCGTGAGTACTTTATCAGAAGGTCTTTAATGGTCTCATTTACCTTCAGTTTTTGATGTTAAATCAATTGATTTCCTCAGGTTCCGGCAGAGCAGCCCTGAGTTTCTCTACAAATGGTGGGGAACATAACTCGGTCTCCAAATTATTAGTCTTAAACATAAAATGCAGAAATACCATCACTAGAGACATTGCAACGCAGAGTTAAATAGCTTTGAATTATTTACAGCGACTCAAAAGATTCTTGAACGTTAAAAGCATTTGTCACCTTAATTGTTTATTAGAAAACATATATCTCTGTATAAAATGGAATTTGTACTATGTAAATGAGTTTTAAAGATTTGTTGCAGTCGTGTTTATGAATAGTGAACAGTGTGTTTGTCATTATTAACTCACTTCCAAAAACACAACAACTATATGGTGTCACATGCTTAATCTTCTAATAGATGGGATCGGTAGAACTCACTTTTAAAAACTAATTCAAAGAAAAATGATGTCCAACCACATATATACATCGTAACAATCCAACAATTATACGATATGAGATAAATTTAACTTCTAACAATCACCTTTTATTAGACCTGGTAAAACGAGTATTGACACGCCAACCTGACATGAACATGACACGATTTAAACGGGTTGAGTTGACACAAATAATATTTGGGTCGGGTTCGAGTTTGAACGCTAAACACGATTACTGTTGGGGCCAAAAAATGGTATAGGCCCTAGCAGGCCCAAATACGAAACACCTTCTATCTAGCCCAAAGTCAAGGCATAATCCTAGTTGGATCCACGATAAGATATTCATAATGGGCTAGCTCATTTCACAAATCAGGCTATTCATAGATTGGGCCTGACCACTAAGGCCTAAATCCGATTAGGCCTCGTCGTCAATTTATATGGGCCATAGCCCATCAATCCAAATCATTCTAGAATCCAAAGTTTATTCCAACTCTAAAGCCATCTACTTCCTATTTTAGTATAGTCCTGATCTTTCTAGAAGACCCATCAATATCCTAATTCCTCTAAGATCCTGGATCTTACATTGAATATGATTTTAACTCCTTTAAATGTAGGAAATCAAGGATTTTCCTATTCACTAAATCTCTATTACCATGGACTCATAATCCTACTAGGATTTGGAGATCCTACAACTACAATATAAATAAAGGTATGTTCTCTCATGAGGCATTCAACCTTACACCTAAAAATCCCCTTGTTCTCACGCTTGAGAGCTATACATCGCCGTCATAGTTCTAGTCTCCGACTAAACTATTGGTAACCCTCTCTTTCCCTTACCTTCACTAAATTAGCCTCTTTCAATCGAAGATGAGCGTCGGAGTGCCTAAGGCAAACGCCACCCTAGGTGTTTCCCGTTTGCTTCATGCTTGTTTCTTTATGTGTGTAGGTGCAACGGATTGCTAGTGGAATCAATTTCACAGGATCAGATCCTCTTTTCCATAACTGTAGATTTCACCATCTATAATTAAACTTGAGGGTTCTTAACCCGCAAATCCATTTATGACACACGAGCCCATTTATAACACGCGAACTTGTTAATTATTACAATTGAAAGAATGTGTCTTACAATGTTATTTTCTTATTGTTATTAATGGTTCACAAGAATTATCTTATGGTTTTTCCAGTCTTGTATGTTGGCTAAAATGTGAAACTTTTCACCATTTCAAGTTGAAATGGATCACAATTTCTTCGATGAGTTTTAACTTATGATGCAGTTAATGTAATATCCCACTTGAGGTACGTATTTAAGAGTTGTTGTATTAGTTAAAAGTTTACTGTTTCAGTTTCAATTGAGTTGGTTGATTGGTTGTCTTGAAATTGGTTGAATTTTGATGAAGTTTGGAAATCCAATCTTCGCCGGGGCGAAGAAGAAGCTTCGCCGCGGCGAGGAGGAGCTGCACCCACGGGTAGGTTCTGCCTTGTTTCGCCGGGGCGACGGAAAGTTCTTCGCCGCGACGACGAGCCTAATAAAAAGTTTCTTGAGTTTTCTAGAGAATTCTTCTTTTGGAACACAATGACCATTCTACCCCTAATTAGTAGGAAAAGTGGGGAGTAAAATGTAAGGAAATTTAGTAGAGATTGTGTTTGGATGGGGGTGTAGTTGTAAAGAATCAAAGGATATAGATGGAATTTCTAAGGAAGGGCAAGGGCAAAATGGGAAAGGATGCTTATAATATGAGCTAAAAAGAGTTAAAGTGTAGAGAAACCCTTTATTCATTCNAAGTAAATGCATTTTTAGAATTTATCTTAAGAACAAAATAGATAACCATTCTTTGGTTGGAATCGATTTCTTCTTGTGAAAATTTATTATGACTATGTTTGAGAAAAAATTCTAAGCTATATATATAGAAGGCAAACGTCTTATGAATAATCTTTTTTATTTATTTTTATTTTTATTTTTTATTTTTATGTTGATTAATGACTAATGGATCATTATTTGGTGATTTGGCTCACTTAATTAAGCTCTATGGCACTTTCCCATGTACCTGAATATACCAATTAAATAATGATATATTGTTTTATTTATCAGAGTGGTTATTTTCATTTCCATGAAAAATTATATTTTATGAAGTTTAGTTGGTTTATAGCTTTCAAATCTGGAATCCACAGACGGCAATTCATTCTCAGAATATAAAAGAAAAACACCAAATAAATTATCATTAATTAAAAGAGATGCTTCTGTCACAAGGTTTCCTTTGGGACCGTTTCACAAAATAAGAAAATCCACCAAAGCTTATTAGCAACATCATACGTGGGGAGCAATAATTTCACAACTAATTACACCCCAATCCTCTCTTCACTTGGCACTTCACTTGCTACTTACAAAATGGTATTCCAATCTTAACCTGCCCTCCATAATTGAAACATCAACTACAAGTTTTTCCATGACAAAAAGGGTTTAAATGCATTATAATCTTGCATACAGAATGGCATTGTAGAACTAGCCACTTAGTGTTGTCTTAGGTATATTAAGAGAGAGAGAGAGAGAATGAAGTACGATTCTATACTTGCTAGAAGCTTCAGCCGGTACGAGCAGAAGAAGTTCAGATATGGGGCATTATTTGGTTGCTTGCTGGTCATTTTGAGTTTCTGCACTGTGTTTAAGCCTTATTTTGGTCCGCTACCAGTTTGTAAGTACTTCATTTTGGTTCTTATATATAATCAACGTAAGAGCACATATATATCTTTCTAACTATGATGGATGTGTTTTGCAGTAAATTTGCGGGTATCGATGGGGGCCGGTCTGAAGATGTTAATGGTCAAGGACACAAGGAGTTCCAATAAAATAATCAGAGATACTAGCAGCTCTAAATACATCCATGAGAATATAAGCCATAATTCTCGACATGTAGTTGATGAAATTACCAATATTACTTCCCAACATATTGTTAAGAATGCAAGCAGCAGCCGGAATATAGTTGGGGACGTAAGTAAATCTCTACCTTTGGTGGATGGAATTAGTAATAGCTCTCAGCAAACAGTTAAGAACATCACGAACAGCTCCCACCAATTGGTTAAGGATAACGACAATTTACAGCACATAGCTAAAGGTAAGTTTTGATTAACTAGTATTAACAAATGAAGATTATTATCTTATATCATCACTGACTCGAGTTATTTCGGGTTTCCTTTCTGAAGTTCCAGAGTTTGTCCCAAAGGAAGTAGTACTAGAGCCAGTCTGCAATTTCACGATAAGGTCAGACTTTTGCGAGACCAACCATGATATATTGATTGATGGAAGTTCCGCCTCTGTATTTATTCCTTCAAGTACTCATCAAACAGGAATCTCGTCACAAAACAGTTCATGGATTATCAGGCCTTATGCTCGAAAAGGAGACGAAGCCGCAATGAATAGCGTAAGGAAATGGTCAGTAAAGTCAGTGATTGATCCCCAACAACTCCCACAATGCACCAAAAATCACAGCGTTCCAGCCATTATTTTCTCCAATGCAGGATATGCAGGAAACCATTTCCATGACTTCACTGACATCGTTATTCCTCTGTACATGTCTTCTAGACAGTTCAACGGAGAAGTCCAATTTCTCATTACAGACAACGGATATTGGTGGATCAAGAAGTTCAGAAAGCTACTCAAGAAGCTGTCTAGATATGATATCATCGACATTGACAAAGAAACTGATGTCCACTGCTTTCCAAGAGGGATTATTGGCCTTAAACGCTATGACGGTAGAGAGCTGACCATTGATCCTTCTAAGTCTTCTCAATCCATGAAAGACTTCAGGGAGTTATTAAGAAGTTCATATTCATTACCCAGAGCTACAGCTATTAAAATCAAGGATGGTGAAAAGAAAAAGCCTCGACTTCTGATTATTTCTCGAAAGAGAACACGGTCTTTTACAAATGCAGGTAAAATTGTTGAAATGGCTAGAAGATTAGGATACAAAGTAATTGTGGCGGAGGCAACAATGAACGTACAAAAATTTGCAGAACTTGTAAATTCTTGTGATGTACTGTTGGGAGTTCATGGAGCTGGGTTGACCAACATTGTTTTTCTTCCTGAAAACGCGGTGGTTATCCAAGTAGTACCATTAGCGAAGGAATGGTTATCAAGATTTTATTTTGAAGAGCCTTCAATGGCTATGAATTTGAGTTACTTGGAGTACAAGGTCAGAGCAGAAGAAAGCAGTCTAATACAACAATACCCACTTGATCATCAAGTCCTGAAAGACCCCTCCTCCATCCGGAAACAAGGATGGGAAGCATTTAAGTCAGTGTACTTAGACAAACAAAATATACAGCTTGATTTGAAACGGTTTAGAGGTACTCTGCTAAAAGCCCGTGAGCTTTTGTCTCGCTAGATATACATATATTTTTCAATAGGAAACCAATTTCAACAAATATCAATTGTTCAATCCATCGTCCTTTTACGTTCACTGTTTCAGTTTCTAATTAGAAAATATACTATGTGTACAAGGAAGCTTAGCATTTTAATAAACTATAAATGTACGATCAATTATACCTACATTTAATTTCTCAACCCACTGACTATCGAGGGGTATTTAATTGAACGACTCAAGATGCATGCCTATGAGGTTTTGCCATAAAAAAAGCATGAATTAAGGGGTATTTAAGTTCACAATGCACACAGCTCCCAGTAATTGATTAACAACAGTAGCAATTAGATTATTTAGATCTTAGTAATAAACCTATATGACATATATATAGTGTTTTGATATTTGGTATCTGAAGTTCCAAATTTTATAACACAGAACATAGAACCGGTTTGCAAATTCCTGAAAAGATGAGAATTTTGCGAAACCAACCGTGAAACAAGGATTCATGGAAGTTCTGCAACTGTATTCATTCCTTCATACACAGGTGAAATAGGCATCTCTGTAGGTTTTTTAGCTAGAGAATACTAAGGCATCTCTGTAGGTTTTTTAGCTAGACAAGGTTATTACTAACATTCAAAAGCTTAATTGCATTATACCAAAGCAGCTCATATAACAGCCTAAAATGTCACTGTTACAACAACTTTTGTAGGATATTTTAAACAAATTCAAACTAAGCCATACAATTCACCTAATCCAAGTACATTAAACTAATACAAAGTCATAACACACAGCTATATACATCTAACATATCACATTACAATTAAAAAAATCTAACAACTCCATTATTCAAATTCAGCCTACAAACTTCAAACTTAGTGCCAAAATCCTACAAACTAGCAGCCTATCTTTATGTTTTTAGTAAAACATTACTGCCATCAACACTCCTTCTTGATGTTTTGCTAGAAACACCAAGCTTCAGCCTAAGTTTTTCAAATTTGGACTTGCTTAGAGCTTTAGTCATTTTTCTGCAACCTGGTCCTCTCCTCTGCAGTGAGCTAAACTGACTTCTTCAATCAGTTCAACCTCCCTTATAGCATGATACTTGATCCTAATGTGTTTGGTTCGACCACGCAACATAGGTTTCTTTGCTATTGCCACAGCTAATTGATTATCACAGAGGATAATCGTTGAACTGCTCTGTTTCAGCTTTTCATCTTCTAGAATTTTCCTCAACCAAATAGTCTGGTTCACGGTAGCAGTAGTAGAGATATACTCTACTTCAGCCATGGATTGTACAATAGTTTCCTGCTTTTTGGACATCCAACTGAAGGTTCCTACATTCAAGAAGAAAATGTAATCCGAAGTGCTCCTCATATCATCAATGGAACTAGCGTAGTCACTGTCTGAAAAACCTCTCAAATTGAATTTTTCAGACCTCTTAAACCATATTCCCAATTTTACAGTACCCTTAATATACCTCAGTATTCTCTTGGCTGCCCTGAAATGTGTTTCACTTGGATTGCTCATAAATCCAGACAACAAGCTAGTGGAGTATATGATGTCTAGTCTGGTTGCTATTAAATACAGCAAGCAACCAATTAAACTTCTGTAAACAACCTCATCTACTACTTCTGCACCATCATTTTTACTCAATTTTTTACTTGGGACCAACGATGTGTCCACTGATTTGCTATTCTCCATACCAAACTTTTTTAAAACCTCATTTGCTTACTTCCTTTGGCATACAAGTATACCATAAGAACCTTGAAATATTTCCATGCCAAGAAAGTAGCTCATCTCCCAGAGGTCAGACATATCAAATTCCTTCTGCATTGCTTCTTTGAACTCCAACAAGTAATTAGATTAGTTTTAGTGACCAATAGTTCATCCACATACAAAGACACTATCATTACTTCACCTCCCTGCACCTTTACATAAAGACTGTGCTCATTTGGTCTCCTTCATACCCCAAGTTACCTAAAGACTCATTAATTCTGCTGTACCAGGCTCTAGGAGCTTGCTTTAGGCCATACAAGGCCTTTCTCAGTAGACAAACTTGATATTCCTTCCCCTTAACTTCATGTTGTCCTTAGGGTTGCTCAACATAGATCTCTTCATCCAGCCACCCGTTTAGGAAAGCTGATTTTACATCAAGTTGGAAGATTTTCCTCTTGAATTGAGCAACAATGGCAAGAAGCATTCGGATGGTGTCATGTCTAGCAACTGGTGCAAATGTATCAATGAAATCCACACCATATTGTTGCGCAAAGCCCTTCACAACAAGCCTTGCTTTGTACTTGTTAACTAATCCATATGGATTTAGTTTTCTCTTGAAAATCCACTTGACTTGTATAACTTTTCTATCTTTAGGCCCATCAACCAGCTGTCATGTTCCATTCCACTCTATTGAAGAGAATTCCTCTTTCATTACAGCTCTCCAAGAATCGAATTTGACTGCCTCATTGTAGCACGTTGGTTTTAACTCAACCACATTACACCTCTCATAAATTTTAGATAATGGCCTTGTACCTCTGACTGGAACTTCATCAGCTTCAACTGAATTCATTTCTTCAATCTGCCTTTCAGGTATTCTATCTTGCTGGAAGTTTGGCTTGACTTCAACCTGATTTCTTTCCCAATTCCAAATAACACACTCATCCACCTTGACATCCCTACTAACTTGGATTTTCTTGTTGATTGGATTGGTCATCCTATATGCTTTTGATTGGCTACTATACTAGATTAGGATTCTCACTCTAGCGCTCTCATCTAACTTGATTCTTTTGTTTGCTAGGACATATACATAACACACATTTCCAAGGTTTCTCAAGTGATCCACTCTTGGTTTTACACCATACCAGGCATCATAAGGTGTCATATTCTCAAGTGCTTTAGTTGGAAGTCTATTCAACAAATAAATGGCAGTGTTGACAGCTTCAGCCTAAGAGACTGGGTAGATTTTTCTCAGCCAACATGACCTGGCCAGCTCCATTTCAGTCCTATTTTTTCTCTCACTGACTCCATTTTGTTGTAGAGTGTATGAACTGCTAAATTGATGCATTATCCCAACTCCCCTGCACACCTCTTCAAACTCATTGGATGTGTATTCAGTCTCATTATCACTCCTCACAGATTTGAGTGTCAAACCTATTTGGTTTTCAAAAAGTAGCTTGAATCTCTTGAAGATAGTAGCAACCTTGCTTTTTTGGTTTAGGAAACACACCCATGTCAGCCTGGAAAATTCATCTATGAAGTGAATGAAATATTTGCTTCCATTTAAGGAAGCTTGCTACATAAGTCCACACACGTCTATTTGCACTAGCTGAAGTTTCTCACTTGCTCTTCATGCCTTCTTTGTTGGAAAAGATGGCCCGCTCAACTTCCCAATTTGACATGTATTGCACAGCCCTTCCCCTTGTTCTATCTTTGGCAAGTTTTAAACAAGGTTTTTGAGTCTTAATTCCTTAAGAGCTTGATAATGAAAATGCCCATATCTCCTATGCCATAAGTCTGACTCATCTACCTTAGCCAAATGGCCTTGAAAACTAGTCCTATCCCATACTATAGGAAAGGTTTTTCCTTGCATCCTTACTTTCATTAGTTCATTCCCATCACATTCTACAATTACACATAATGCCTTTTCAAACCGCAGAGAATAATTCTTCTCAAGCATTTAGCCTGCACTTAACAAACTTTGACTAATATTAGGAACAAATAAAACATCAGTTATAATTTTGATACCTGCCTTAGTTTGGACAGTAACATTTCTCTCGCCTTTGAGCTCCAGCAGCTCACCATTTCCCACTTTGACTTTGGACTTGTAGCTTTGATCCAAGCTCACGAAATTGGACATGTTTGGTGATATATGGTTGGTGCAACCACTGTCAATTAACCACACTTCTTGATCACAATCAGCTACACATCCTCAAGTCACAAACAACTGCTCAGGTTCTTAAGTTTGTTGTTGATTCTACCTTGCCTGGGATTGATGCTCCTACAACCCTCTTTTATTCTTAAACACCCTTCCTATATGTCCAAATTGTTTAAAAGACCTGCATTGTATGCCAGGCTTGAACCAACATCTGTTTTCAGAGTGGTTCTTTTTTCTTGCAATGAAGACAAGGAGAAAAGGTTCTTGTTTTCGCATTCTTTCCTCCTTGGTTGTTAACTTTCTCCTTTCCCTTCTTCTCTCCAGCATACATCCTCTTTTCACCTTGGAATCCCCTCCTTTTTTGGCTTGCTAACATAGCTCCCTCACTTGAATCTTCCTGCCTTAGCAACCTCCTCTGTTCTTATGCTTGAAGAGCATGCACAAGTTCTACTAAGCTGATATGGGACAGCTCTTTGGAGTCTTCAAGTGAAGATATCTTTGCTTCAAATCTCTAGGGTAAGTTGAACAAAACCTTCTCCATAATCCTCTTATTAGTCAACTCCTCTCCAAGTAGTTTTATTTTGTTCACAACATTCATTAGCATGTCCACATATTCCTTAACAAACCCAGTCTCCTGCATTTTAAGCACTTCAAAGTCCCTTCTCAGGTTAAGCACTTGCATGCTACTTATTGTATTACTGCCCTTAAACTCCTCATAGAGCTTATCCCAAGCCTATTTAGGAGTTTCACATGCCATAATTCTTATAAAAACCTAGTCAATTATTGTTAAATGGATGCAAGACAGGGCTCTTAGAGACTTTGCTAGCTCTTTTTCATGAATCCTTATTTGATTTAGTGTTGGGTTTGCTCCAAGCTGAAGGACTTGTCTCTTTTCCTCCACATATTGCCACAAACTGTGGCCTCTCAAGTAAGTCTTCATTTTGACAGCCCAAACTTGGTACTACTCACCATTGAAGATGGTTGGAGAAAGAGGAATTGGGTTTGTTACCATGAAGAAGACTTTTAATGGAGTTGAGATGAGTTCTGGGTAACCTGTATTTTTCGAGAGAACTGGAACTGCACAGTACAGGTTATTAAATTCAAAGAACCAGAACCTAAAATGCAGGTTCTGGTCCCTTTCCCAGGTACTCTG